AACTTCTTCTAACAACCTATGCATTTTGTTATCATTTTCAATTAGACCATTTATTAATCCAACTAGTAAATGATTATATATGGATTAATTTTTTTGGTTTCCATTTGAAATTAGTAATAGATGCATTGTCTATAGGACCTGTTTTATTAAATGATTTATCACTACTTTAGCTATTTTAGTTGTCTGGCCTATTACTCGGGATTCTCGATTATTCAATTTCTTGATGTTAGCAATGTATAGTGGTCAAATAAGTTAATTTTCTTCACGGGACCTTTTACTTTTTTCGATAAATCACAAAATTCAGAGAAAAAAAATTCTCTTCATATGAAGTGTTACTGTAAGATATTTCATATACGTAATAAGGGGTTGCTTGTTTTTTAAAAGTTAAAATGCATACAGTGTACAAACCATGTATGTATTCATCTATAGATGAATATGTGGACCAAATGTTTACAGTCTGCAAGAAAAAAAACAGTCTTTTAATGACTACAGTAAGGGTTCATAAAATCTGAAACTAAAATACCAAACCTAACAACCGATAAATTGTAACTATTTTTGGTGAACTAAACCGTTGATGTTGATATTTTATGGTTTGGTTAGACGAATAGACTATATCATCAATTTTTCGTTTCATGGGTTCTCGTTTTTTCTATGAATAGTTAACCGAAAAACCAAAATTTAATCTTTATTTTTAGTTGTTTTTAGAAATTTCAAATAACATTTATTATTATATGAAAAATGTTCAAAATGTAACCAAGTTAGTATTTAGAAATGGTTCGTGTATATGTTTGTGCCAAAAGAAAAAAAAAGTGGATGTATTTGTTTCTAAAGGTTAAAAGTTTCACAGTGTTTTTCTTGCCTAGAAGATATTTGTGAAAAATGTCTTTTTATTCATAAATTATCATCCGGGTCATTTTGGATAAGAGATACATACATTTTGATGTCTACAGTCTTCAAAAAAGCATTATACTAGACATTTTGATGTCTGCAGTCTTCAAAAAAGCATTATACGAGAACGCACATATATAAATGTATTATGACATAAAAGGTAATATATAACATTTTCAATAAAAAAAACACCATCTATGTGGTATCTATTATGAAAACTTATTATTTTCAATTATCTACATACATGCTAAATATATAACATGTGTGATTAATTTATGTGAAGGTATAGTCCCTGTTATCTTGTATTATTTTTTCAAAACTAATTACACGAATAACTCTGAAGCTTAGTTAGAGCCTATCCACTTTTTTTTTTTTAATCTTTTTTTCTTCATTAGTGTATACATATGAAAATTCATATGTATACGTGCACTTAGAAATTTGCAAAAATGTGACAACCATCAATTCCGGTCAAGTGAGTCAAATAAAATCAACAAGTCAAATCGATCAACTCAATTAACCCTTGTATATTAGGGTTTACATGAAATGTTTACTATTGTACAATACCTTATCTTAATGCAAAGTATCACTTTGAGTCTTCACGTGCTCAGAAAAATCTAAACCCTAATCAGGGTAAGTGATGGAACTACTCGATAAAACGTTATAACATACCCTTCGGGGACGTATAACACTCATAACGATGCTTAATGGGGTTTACAAACCTTACATTGCAAAGCTAAACACTCGCAAGGGTCACAAACAAAGTCTCTCTCAATCTCTCTCTCTCTCTCAAATCTCTCCCAAATTTCTCTCACAACCTCTCTCAACTTTTTATGATCACTCAGGGCATCCTGATCCTTAATTTAGTCAAAAATCACTCAAAACGGGAAGATTATTCGAAAAACAACTAAAAGGGGGCAAAATCTCTTAGGACCCGAAGCCAACTTCTAAGAACCGAACTCTAAGGAACCGAAACCCTAAGGAACCGAAACAACCTCTAATGAACCGAACCTCCTTCCAGAACCGAACCCACCCTTCGTCCCGAAACCTACTTCGCCTTCGCTTCAGTGTGTTCTCCTGAAACCTTCGTCTTCGCTTCCCTTACATCTTCGCCTGCGATGCTTCTCGGACTGAGCCTCCTTTCGTTCTCAGGGACCGAACATCGCATGTTCGCCTCTCAAACCCTATTTTCGACCACCTTCGCATTTTATGCCCGTTTTTCATGATTTTAACGTGGGATTTTCACCCAAACTCATATTTTGACATATAAGACCCCATATATTCATATTTTAATCATATTTTGGGGGAAACCTTTATCTGTGGATAATATCTTTTGTGCAAGATAGTGTCTATTAGTGTTGACTTTTCCATAAAGCTATGACAACAAGCTATCCCCCATACCCACTCTATGACAACCTCCAGTTACTATTCATCTCTAGCTAGGAAACTATTTGTACTTTCACACCCTTCTCCAGCAAGTTTCATTAATCAAAGGCTAGGAAAAATCCTTATCTCTCCTCCAAGATATTCTCTCTTTCACCAAAAGAAAACATATCACTCTCTCAAAACTCGAGATTTTAATGGCTGATGTTAAACTTCTTCTCCACTTTTGGTAAGTATCTTCATCCTACTCTTGAGTATTCTACACTCCTTCACTCAAATCATGTATCTCTCATACAAATATCGTCATATTTGTTCTTAGGATCTTCAAATCTTCAAGCATCTTCCAAGTGTTCTTGACTTGAAAACCTCTTTTCTTCAACATTTATCTTAGGGAATCACTCAAGGTGAGTACATACCTCCATATTTTCATGTTTCCTTCAAGTTTTAGGGGGGGGGGGGGAGGAGGGGGAATACAAGTTAAAACACCAAAATTTAAATAAACTCGGACATCAGCTTTCAACAGGAAAGTTTAGTCCCATTCACAGACTATTTTGAACGTCTTAAACTTTTTAGTTTTCAAAACTGTACCAGGTGCAAATAGTTCAAGTTTATAACTTTCTAATGACTACTTGCACATCTTTATACGATTTTTATATAATTTATGGCAATTTTTACAAAACTGCCTATCATTTCAGAAACAACTTCGGACCAATCTGTGAAGTTTAACATTTCACACAAGTTAGAGACTTCTAAAAATCATAATAAAAACTATGAACAAACTAGACACATTTTCTAAACTCTTAGAGTTTACGATTCAGTTATTGACTTCGTATGATTTTTCTAAGACAATGCAGAAAAATTAAAAACTAGTTAAATAGCTTGCAATATTTACAACACTTTGTAACATGTTGAACAAAGTGTATTACAATAAGTTTCTAAACATAGAATGTATTTCTTGTTAGTTTAACATCAAAAACAGAAATCAGTCATTCATGATAAGGGTTTTCATACACTTCAGACAAGTACAATAAACCATACTAGGTATAGTTTATGGATTTTACATTATGAACTTACTACATGAAATGGGGTTCAATTCCACCACAAAAAAGGTTTTACTCTTAATACAAATGGGTTTTAATTTAGCACATGATAAACTATAATATGTATAGTTTATGGATTTTACATAACGAACTTACTACATGAAAGGGGATTCAATTCCACCACAGAAAATGTTTTACTCTCAATACAAATGGGTTTTCATTTACCACATGATAAACTATAATAGGTATAGTTTATGGATTTCACATTACAAACATGTTACACAAAAGGGGATTTCAATCCCACCACATAAAAGGTTTTACATGCATACTACACATAAACTCGTTATTGTAAATTGTGAGACTAGTCTTTATAGTACTATTAGAGTACATGTTAAAATTCCTGAAAGTTATAACCAGAGTCTCTTGTAGGGAGAGCGTGATAATTATGTATAGATCTATATAGGGAATGACAACCCACACCCATGCTGCTTGCAACAACCCTACCGGGCGGTCGGGAGTGACAAATATCATTTAGATTCTGACGCCTGAAGAACGCTGCAGTAGGTCATCTCTATTATAGTATATTTATAGTGACTCACATAGGAAGATAACGACACATATAGTTTACGAGAATTTCTTTATTTAAAAAAGAGTTTTATCTATTTAAAACAACATACATCGTTACAAGTATGAAACACACACATACATTCGGTCTTGGGATTTAAGACTACATAACATTTTATAAGGAAAATATTGTATTTTTCTTGAGTATACATTACATTTACAAACAAAGGTTTTCAAACTCTACATACAAAAACTTATGAACTTACCAACTTAATTTTTGATACTTTTTCAAAACTATTTGTTTTATCAAGAAATCAATAAAACAGGAAACCCACAGCTTTTAAGGATGGGACGTTAAAGTGTCAAATAATTCATTTTGTCATCATAGTGTAATTGATTTTGAAACATATAAATTCATAATATGGTGTAACTTTTTCAGTTACATTTATGATGGTTTTATTTACGTTGAACATTATTATACTCGTTGTTATGATACTACACATGAAATCCGTCACCTCGGACGTTTCCGTCATCCTTGGCTTAGGGGTGTGACAATACACACACACACAAATATATATATATATATATATATATATATATATATATATATATATATATATATATATATATATATATATATATATATGTAAGATTTTTTTTTGAATTTTTTTAGCGAATTAATTTCTTAGTTGATAATTTATTAATATTTGTTAAAAGTTTAAAGATTTGAATTAACGAAGTTTATGAAAAAAAATCAATTTGAAGTAAAATAAAAATATAATTTATATTTTTAAAACTAGACATTAATATTAATTAATTTACATTAATAATATAAAAAAACAATATAAAGATAATGTACAAAGATAAATATTTTATTTAAAACTAATATTTTTCATTACATCATAATTAATAATAAATTTTAATAATTATTTTTTTGAAAATATTATTTATCAACGTTTTATGCACATACACATCTTTTATATATATATATATATATATATATATATATATATATATATATATATATATATATATATATATATATATATATATATATATATATATATATATATATATATATATATAAAATATGCAATGTTGGATATACATACATGGCTATAGATGCATATACATACATACACAGCACATAGTCCACAGAAACCATCTAAAACATTCCTTTCCGTGCTTTTTTCAAGAACAGTGGAAAGTAAAAGGAGGCCATCACTCTATCTCTCTCTTCTCTCTGTCTGCTTCTTTCAGCCATGGACAGGCCTCACTGGCCACAGGTATATATCTGGATCTTCCACCTTCTGCATCATCACCCTTAAAACTCACAAACTTAAAAAATAAGTAAACTTGAATTATTTCATTTCCTTGAGCTCATGATCATATGAATTAAACCAATCTAATGTTTCTTTTTCTTTTTTCTTTTTAATTTTGATCATACACAGTTAGTGTAGATGTAAGTTTCCATAGATCTTCAAGTCTATTTTCTTCTTTATCTTTCACTCGTTATATTTTTAGTATGCATCTTGCACTTTACTTTTGATAATTTATGTGATCAAGGGTCATGTTCTCATGGGTTAAAAATAAATAAGTTAGTTTCGATGAGTTCCTTTTTATTGAAGATTGGTTTTTATGGATTCTGAAAAGCATAAAGCAGCAGCCTTGTTTTGTTCATTTGTCTGCAAATCTTAAAGCTTTTGTGTATCTTTATGTCTAATACATCTTTTCTTTTTCTAAATTATTTCTTCCTTTTTCTTTTCCTTTATGCTTCCTTTTGGTGTTTAAATAGGAGATAGTGGTGAAGCCAATGGAAGAAATAGTAGTTCCCAACACCACAAATTCAAGTAACAATTATAATAATCTCTCAAAGCCATCTTCAAGTTCTTCCTCTCTCGAAAGAAGGATAAGACCACAAAAAGCTGCCGCTGTAAACTGTCCGAGGTGTGATTCCACCAACACCAAGTTTTGTTACTACAACAATTACAGTCTTTCACAACCAAGATACTTTTGCAAGACTTGTAGAAGGTATTGGACTGAAGGAGGAACACTCAGAAACATCCCTGTTGGTGGTGGTTCAAGAAAGAACAAGAGATCATCGTCTTCTACTACTTCATCTCAAACTTCAGTGTCAAAGAAGCTTCCTGATCTAATTGTACCTTCTGCACCAACATCAGTACTTTCTCAAAACCCTAGGATCCTTCATGATCATTATGGGCAAGATCTTAACTTGGGGTTCCCATCCGCTAATAATTTCAAGAATGTTTCTGACTTTATGCAAATACCAAACTTCGATGCCACCAGGAATACGAATTCTTCAGCTTCCACCACCAGTAGCAATATTACAACTACTGCATCGGCTTCGGCTCAGCTTTCGGCTTTGGAGCTCTTGACTGGAATCACAGCGAGGGGTACAATGAATTGCTTAATGCCGATTCCGATCCCTGACCCTAATTCCGTTTATTCACAGTCAGAGCAGTTGATGATTCCGATGCCGGAATTCAAGATTCCGTCACTTAGCTTTTCTTTAGATGGAATGGCGAGTGGTGGCGGTGGCGGTGGCGGTGCATATGGGAATAGTCTTGATGATAGTACAGATCGGAGGCTTTTGTTCCCGTTTGAAGAACTGAAAACGAACACATCGACAACGACTCTTGATGAACAGCATGTTGCGCAAGATAGAGATCAGAATGGTGACTCCAATGGGTTCTGGAATGGAATGATGGGTGGAGGCTCTTGGTAAAGAAACGTATGCATATATATATATATATATATATTTTCTTAAATAATAGTTTTAAATTGAACGTGTGGGGATTTTTGGTCGTTTCTTTCTTTTCAAATCTTGATTTTTCTGGTATGAAAATGGTGGTGGTGTTGAAGACTTGTTTCGATTTCTGGAAAAACTAACTTGGTAGGATCACAGCGCGTTTCTCGTCTTGAATTATATGTTCAGTGATTCCTCCCTTGATCATATTATAAGTAACTTCTGGTATTAGTTTGGGATGCTATTATGAGATCCAAGATTATCAAGAACATATCATCAAGAAAGCTAAAGCCAGGTTTTTTATAGAGGTAAGAAGAGAAGGGAAAACCTAGTTATTAATGTTATTGGTTAATTGGGCTTCGGGTATAGACACTAATTATGTACAACTTACTATTGGATTTCTTGATTTCCGATCTTTACATATATAGTTTTGTGGGTGCCATCTCTCTCTCTTTCTCTCTCTCTCTCTCTCTCTCTCTCTCTCTCTCTCTCTCTCTATGTATGTGTGTGTATGTATGTATGTATCGCATATACAAGTTCATATCGCTTTCGTCAGGTGTGATTGCACAGAAGGATGGAGACTGTGAACATGAAAGTTTGGATAATCAGAAAGCATGCAGATAAGCTGGAGAAAGATAGGGACGCATTGAAGATGAAGACCCAGGTTTGTACACATACTTGAGTGTGTGTTTTGCGTGTTGTATTATTGTGGGGCCATGAAGAACAGTATGATAGATATGATCATTCTGTTGAAATCACATGTACATGACGAATCAAAGTCGAAAACTGCTACACCTGCTCAACTGAAAGTTTCAACTGCTTTATTAATCCCATATCTCATCGGTCTCATCTTGCACGTTACTAACTGTACTATATCTCTTTATAAAATACGTAAAACCTTCGCCTATATTATTAGCCTCTGCGGTAATTTCTAAAGACTTATATATAAACAGTCATTCCAACTTTATCTCTTACACCTAAAGTTTTTTTTTACCATCTAATGCAAGGCTTATGACTATACTAAGGTAGAGTTGGGCCTACTTACCTAACAGTCGCCTTTTCAAGCCAGCATTTATATCCTAAATCCAAGTCTTATGTTTTCATACTAACAAATAAATTGCTAAAGTACTTTAATAATGATGAGTGTTTGATCGTTCGAATCTTTCAAAGAATTATCACTATAATTGAAGGCATGTAATGGCATTGTCAACGAACATTTTTAACTTTATATATTCGTAAATATGATCTTATAAATATCATATGTTAAGTATGTACGTATGCATGTATTGCATACAAATTTATATCTTTATAATAATCTAATTATGATATCGTCACAATTATAACTTCTATAGAATATTGGGTTTTTTCTTTGTAGAAAGATAAAAACCCTAGGTAGTTCATTTTTGAACGGTGTGTACATGTGAGGATCAGAAAACATTCCCCTAGGTAACTGTGTAAAAAGTAAAGGGAATAATCATCAAATCCGTCCAAGCCACTGAGACAAGTTTTCTTTTATTTTAATATGATTTCTGGTGATAAATGATTGATCTTTATTTGCTGTAGCCCACCCAAAAACATTATTCCATGAAACACGAGAAGGTATGGGCTAAACAAATCTGTTGTTCATATTAATATAATAACCACGAAACATTTCCGCTAAAAACCGACTTAAGCAACTCCCTAACACTTGGATCTACCAAAAAGGTTTCCAATATCTAAAGACATGAAATGGATAGAGGCCAGTATTTGTTTCGATGGATCCTTTTGTTTGGTTTGTCATTGTAGAGTATTGGGTCACAATATATTGTGGTGTCTGTTGAATATGTATGTGTGACTTACAGGGCGAGCTTCAATATTTTATTTGGGGAGCCGAAAATATAATATGTATAAAAATTGATGAGAGGGAAGCGGAGAGTATATAATATGACTTCATTTGTAGCTATATATTTGAGAGGCAAGTAGGTCAAGGTGTCAAGGTAAAAATGTAACTAGCTAGGGCAACATTATCGGATGACTATAATTGCACCTCAATATTTTTTTCTCCGATAAGGTTACAAGAATACAGTTCCTCCAACCTCTCAAACTAACCATTCTCTCTCTCTCTTCCAGGAGGAGTAATTTTCCAGTTCGAGCACATAGTCACTCCCCTTCCATCCACGATCCTTAATCAAGATTGTTGTTGGCACGACAATATAAGAATAAGATAATTGCACTCAATAGTGTTTGTTTTTTCGATATGTTCTTTGGAAGCAAAATAATCACATTGATGTAATATAAAACATAACAAAACATATCGGATAAATTATAAAACATATTACTCCACTATCATATTAGTGCCCATGTAAGCTAAATATAAGGTGGTCATGAATGATGTGTGTATCTACTATTAACCACTAATATGATGGGTGTCATCTCATCACCACGTCGAACAACATTGTACTCGACATAAATACCACTAAAACACAACTCCACATCAATTTTTTTCAAATTAATTCAAAAATATATTATAATAACATAGACATTTTAAAACTAGTTTTACATTCATTTAAAAAACAATACGTTAATTTAAAAGAAACGAGAATTAAAAATAGACAAAAAAATAAATAAATTTTCCAAACATAAAAAAAGCTATACTCCCTAGGTATTCGTATATCTTGTTCTCATGGATTGTTTCATTGTGAGAAAAATCTCCAAATCTTCTCCCTTGTAGTTTTCAATTTTCATTTTTGAATATCTCCAAATCGGTTTTTGTTTGTAACGATGTTTGGGTGTTTGTCATTTTTTGTTTTACCCGACGCATCATCGCTACAGTATTGGTATCTTGTTTTTAGACATATCGATCACATTTTTCTCAAAAATCATCAATAATGCTAGAAATCAATTTTTTTGAACACGTATTGGAAGTCGTTTTCGTTCCTCTATTTATTCCTATCGGTCGACGAAAAGGTTGTTCATCTTTAATATCCGTCAGCTCATCATTGATGTTGATATCTTCAAGAATTCAAAATTTTTGAATACTGTTTACCTTAGTACAAGAAGAAAATAAAATCTTAGAGAAAGTTGTACCAAGGTTCGACGGAACTTGGTTAGAGAAGACAGATCAAAATAGATATAATTACATGGGTTACATAGAACTTGTATAAGCCATCGTTCTATGCATAGTTATAGAGTTTGTTTTCATGAATAAGTACAATTGATTGTTCAAATATGATATTTTTTTTGGATGTTTGTTTAGTTGAGTTTGTTAGGATGTTTGACTTCATATTAGAATAGTTATTTGATGGTTATTTTGTTTGTGACAATTAATGATGTGCATTATATATATATATATATATATATATATATATATATATATATATATATATATATATATATATATATATATATATATATATATATAAGGTTAGGTTCATGTGAGACGGTCTAATTTTATGAAACCGTGAGATGCATTTTTTTTTTTTTTTTTTATATTTTTTATATTTTAAATTTTTTTTTTTACTTAATTCAAGTTCCGAAAATAATATTTAAAAAAAGAATTTTTTTCATTTTTCCACTTATTTTGCATTTTAAAATTATTTTTTAGAATATATACAGTGTAATATTCTATTAGAATATTTCACGTATTTTTAAAAAAAAAACGTGATTTATTATTATTATTATTATTATTATTATTAGTCAATTCAAATTTCGAAAATAATATTTAAAAAATGAATTTTTAGATTTTTCCAACTATTTTGCATTTTAAAATTATTTTTAAGAATATGTTAGCGTAATATTGTATTAGAATATTTCACATATTTTTCAAAAAAAAAAACAGGATTTTTTTTTTAATTTTTTTAGTTAATTCAAGTTCCGAAAATAATATTTACAAAAATAATTTTTGGATTTTTCCATTTATTTTGCATTTTAAAATTATTTTTAGATTTGGTCTTATGGTCTCATAAAATTAGAATGGTCTCAAATGAACCTGAACATATATATATATATATATATATATATATATATATATATATATATAGAGAGAGAGAGAGAGAGAGAGAGAGAAAGAGAGATTTGATAATTAACCTGTGAACTTTGTATGATATACTTAAGTAGTTAGTTGATGTTGTTAATTTGTTTAAATTTTCTAATTGGATTTGATAATTTTTTTATGACACATATGTAAATATATGCAGTATAGTTACATACTAATGAATTATTTCAATATATTTACATTATGTTGTATTCATGGATATGATCATTATATTTTGGGATTTGATAATTATATTTCATCATCAATATTATGACAAATATGTAAGTATATACAATATACTTACTAACTGTTTGTTTAAATTTGGTCATTGTTCGCATATCAATGTGTGAAAATAATTATGTATGTTGTGTAGATGCTTTACATAATTAAATTCTTGGAATATCCAAAGTTAGAAATACATGTGATGATCAATGGTTGACCATAATCAATGTAGGACTAAGTCAAGAAATTATTGTATCTAATACGTAAATGTAGTACTCAAATGTTAAACATAAACACAATCAAAGATGGAACATAAAGGTGTTCATAAATATACTAATGTTTAAAATCTTGAAAACACAACAATAATACATCCGTCAAGAATATGATTTTGAAGAATTATGAATATAATTTCACTATATAAGATACTTCGTTAGCGTAGAATGGTAAATTTAATTTAAATTAAGAATAAGATTTTGTAAAATTTGAATCTGTTTGGATTTGAGTTATTAGTATTAAGTATAATTTTTAATTGATCATATAAGATATTTCTTTAGATAAGAAGGGTAATTTTGTCATATAAGTCATATCCATTATGTACGCAAATTATTCATGGCAATATGGAAATGTTGTTTTATGGTCTTTACAACTATATGGCGGAGTGACATACCCATTTTTTAAACTTTCAAAATTCCAAGTAGTATAGATAATTAGAGGAATGCATACATAGTTAATATTAAAGCTTGAAAGTGTTTGAAAATGCAATCAATATACATAGTCATTAATAGAAACCAACTTATTGCTCTAACAACCAAAAAACATATAATATGTATTGCTTATAAACCCCACTAGAAATAAAGCATGATCAAGGCTTGTCACCTTCCGTTGTTTTGTACGCCAACTTTTACTTTTGCCAGATATAGATAAATGTAAAGATTACAGTAAGTTCAATGAAATGTAATATTATATAACCATAATCATATAAAACAAGTATATGAATTATAGTATGAATAAGGAAGACACACCCTACGTAAGACAATACCCCAACAGTAGGGACAAAAATAATCATTTTGGGATCCTTAAGCAAATTTTGTAGGTTTACACGTGGAAATATATTTTCACTTTGAGGAAAAACTATAGTACTAAATTCTTTATCCGCATCCTCATATGCATCTTTATAATTTTTGGGAGGTGTCTTGAACATAATAGACACTTTTTTGTCAAGTTGATTTGTCACGTAAAATACTTGTTCTACTTGTGAGGCTAATATGAAGGCATTGATGTTTTGGCCTAAGTTATTTAGGTCAACAAATGTGTACCCAAGATTCTCCTTCTTCACACCATTTCTATTGTCTACCCAGTCACACTTAAAAATTACAATTTTTTAACATGATAATCTAGTACCCATATCTCTTGTAAAACACCGTAATTGTGTTTTTGGGTGTAGATTATAACTTCTTTATTTGAAATGTGCATGTCATTTGCCACTACACTAACCATATTGTCCTGTTGAACCTTACTTTCATGACGTTTTATAGGAAATTTATATTCATTCACAACATATGTTTCATATTTTAGTACGTTCTAGTTTGGTCCATCTGAAATCCATCTAAGTTTGTCCGAAATACTCTCTTTCGAGACCGGTAAATCTATCTCAACCTAAATATTAGTACAATGTCACCTTTAGCTAAACATAAATACATTTACTTAAGAAAAAACAGGCATTATGAAA